CAGCCAAACCTATAAGTCTGGTATCAAAGAGTGGAGCACTCATACAGGACATCCTTGGTGTCTCAAGTCTAAGGACCAGATACACCACTAGGACTACGGAATCGCTGTCTGACAATAAGGCATCATCAACCATCCAGCATTTCGTAAGCGGATCAATCAGTGAACTCATTCTCCAATGAGCACCTGTACTGTATCCCTAGTGTCCCTACACGAGCAGCTATGAGACCAACTGCATCCATCATATGGACGGGTATACAACACACCAGTCTATCCAGTTATCACGATGTCCCTCTCGAGTAACCTATGATCGGGATTATTTAGGATATGTGTTTAAAGGTGAATCGATCTCATTATCGTGATCTCATCACGATCCGATTCCCATTGCACAAATCCAAGGACATCACAATATATATATGCACATATGCAATAGTTATAAAGTGATATACGCCAAAATATAATAAGCAAAAAGATTCTGTATCAAGTCACACGTGCCATCACTCATGTGATTGGCTTGCTGGGCACCTATGACTAGCACTCCGCCCCTCCCGCTAAACGCATCTCGTACCGAGATCTTCCTTCAAATCAGGGAGAAGGGTCTTTTGCGACCACCTAACCCCATGAAAGTTACTCACAAAGATCGATCAAAATATTACAGGTTCCACCGAGACTACGACCACGACACGGAAGACTGCCACGACCTCCAGAACCAGATCGAGGACCTGATCAGGAGGGGTCATCTCGGTCGCTACCTCAAGGAACCCCAAGAAGCGACCCCACGACCCAGGGTGCCCGTCGAAAGACAGATCGACGTCATTTCTGGAGGACCGACGGCCGGCGGCAGTAGCTCAACGGCGAGGAAGGCCTATGCTTGGAGCACGGTCGAGAAATACCCTAGACCCGAGCTTGAGCCTGAAATCACTTTCGGAGCCGAAGAGGTCGAACGTTCCCATCATGACGACGCTTTGGTGATCTCCATCCAGATCGCCAACGCTCGAGTGAGAAGGGTAATGGTTGACACCGGGAGCTCTACCGACGTGCTGTACCTCGACGGGCCGAGGTGCGGTATTCCCCGATCGAAAAGCTGACCCTTGCGTTGATAAAGATGGCCCGAAAGCTACGCCCGTACTTCCAGGCTCACACAATCAAAGTCGTCACCGACCAACCGTTGCGACAAATCCTATCTAAATTCGACGTGTCGAGACGAATGCTACGGTGGTCAGTCGAGCTCAATGAATTCGACATTCAATACTCTCCTAGGAGTGCCATAAAAGCTCAGGTACTAGCCGATTTCATCTCCGATCTAACCCCTGAAGATCATGCAGATGGGTAGAAAGATGAGAATCGCATATGGACCCTGCACGTGGACAGCTCGGCCACCACCGAGGTAGCCGGGATTGGACTTATCCTCAAGGGTCCAACCAGAGAAACCTACAAGAGATCACTCCGGCTACAATTCTGAGCCACCAACAACGAGGCCGAATATGAAGCGCTACTCCACGGCCTGCGTCTCACCCTAGAGATGCAAGTGGGCAACCTCGAGGTTTTCAGCGACTCCCAGCTGGTGATAGGACACATGAACGGGAACTATGAAGCCCGAGACTCAACCATGGCGTCATACTTGGCAGAAGCGCAGCAACTCGCCCGCCTCTTCAACTGGCTTTCGATCACTCGGATACCTCGGGCCCAGAACACACAGGTCGATGCCTTAGCGAAGTCAGCTTCGACCCGAGGTCTGGAAGCAGTCCCGGCAACCGAGTCCATAATGGCATCGATAATACCATCATACGACGTCGCCGAAACTCGAATCTCGCCCAACTGGATGGAAGAGATCCTTTGCTTCAAGAAGGACGGGATGAAGCCTGACAACCCGACAGTCGTAAAACGGCTAAGGCGAGCCCAAGCCTGGTATTGCATAGTCGGTGGAAAGCTATACCATAGAGGCTTCTCTCAACCTCTCTTACATTGTCTCGCGCCACCCGAGGCCGAAACAGTCCTTGCCGAACTCCATGAGGGGATTTGTGGGGAACATATCGGGGGACGAACTTTGGCCTTCAAGACTCTCAAGCAAGGGTATTACTGGCCAACGATGCGCCAGGACGCCGCATTGTACATACAACGATGCCAACAATGCCAAAGGCACGCTCGGCTGCAACACCAACCAGCGGTCCCTCTCACCCCGATGGAAGCGGCCTGGCCCTTCGCCTAGTGGGGACTTGACCTCCTCGGGCCTTTCCCTCCGGCTTTAGGGTAACGACGCTTCCTCATAGTGGGGGTCGATTACTTCACGAGGTGGGTTGAAGCCGAACCTTTGGCCTCCATCATGGAAAAACAAGTTCAAAGTTTCACTTGGAAGAACATCATCACTCGATTCGGGATTCCAAGGGCCATCATCACCGACAATGGAGCTCAGTTCAACAACGCCAAATTCAAAGCCTATTGCCAGTCGTATGGGATACAATTAAAGTTCAGCTCAGTGGAACACCCCCAAACCAACAGTCAAACTGAAGTAATGAATCAAGCGATTTTAGAGGGCCTCAAGAAGAGGATCACGGGCGTGCACGGAGCCTGGGTGGACGAGCTGCCGAGCGTCCTATGGGCAATGTGGACAACCCCAAAAACTGCTTCAGGAGAATCTCCGTTTAGCCTCGCGTTCGGAATCGAAGCAGTCCTCCCACCTGAAGTGGTGTTTTCAACCTTGCGTACCTCCGGCTACGAACAAGCAGGTTCCGAGGAGGGCCTGAGAGCACACCTGGACCTCCTCGAAGAAAGGAGAGCCGAGGTACACCTACGCACTTTAGCGTACAAGAAGGCCGTAGCTCGGATATACAACCGCAAGGTTCACCCTCGACCAATCAAGGTTAGGGATCTCGTCCTTCGAAAGGCCGAGGTAAGCGACCCGACCCGAGCAAGAGGCAAACTCGCGCCCAACTAGGAAGGTCCCTATAGAGTCTACGACATGGTCCAGGAAGGGACCTACCGACACGAAACTATGGATGGAAACCCCCTACCAAGAACATGGAAAGCAACAAATCTGAAAAAATTCTACCCGTAAAAGAGTCGGGCAAGGCGCTCGAAGCACGTGTTATGGGAGAACATGCACGACCATAGCCGAAGCAAACAATCCGAAACAGAAATTCATTCATAAGAAAGTGCATACAATGATCGGGCAATACAAATCCAAGAGCTGACTAGACCAAAACCAAGAAAAGCAAATACAAGTCAACTTGGGGGAGGAGTTTCAGGCCCGTCATTGAAGGAAACCCTCGCCGGCATATCCACGGCCTCATCTGCGGGATGGTCGGCAAATGGATCCGACTCCTGTTCCAACTCCGGATGACTCGCCCGAATGCGAGCACAAGCCACCCAATATCCAAACTCGTACGTCACCCGTCCCGACCTCACTAGGCCGCGCTCCAACCCGGCAGACGCCTTGTACTCGATAATCGCCTTCTCTATCCGCTCAGGCAGCGCCAATCGCTCCTCCTTCAGGGCCTCTTCAGCAGCCCAAGCGGAAGACCTGGCAGACTCGATGTCGTTTGGGAGCGTATGAAATTCGTCGGCCAGCGTCCGAGCGCGAGCTTGGCTTTCCTCCAGCTCGGCCTTCAGACGGCTCACCTCTTCGTCCAAAGCCGAGGCACGCTATTCGACCATTGCCACGACCTCCGGGCCGAACGAGTTCCTCAGCTCCTAGTTCTCAAGGCGAAGGGCGACATAAGTGTCCGATTGACGCTCGATCACCTGCCCTGCGTCGAGGACTCGGTCAATCAGCGCCATAGCATAGTGTTGACCCAGTACCGAGATTAACATCAAGACCCATGTAAAGTAGGTGGCGACGAAGGGAGGAACGCCACTACTTACCCAGACCAGTGACTTGGCCGCCCGATCTGCCAGCACCTCCGAAGTGGGGCCGTAAAGTTCCTTAGCCATGGCCGGGTGCAGCGTTCCCCAGATAAACTCCTGGGTCGTCGGCCTGTCGGCCCAAATGCGACTGTCGGCCTTGAGGTCGGGCCAGCGGGTGGCATAGGGGGTTCCCGGCGCACCAGCAGGAAGGCTAGTCATGCTTGAGGCCCGGTACTCCTCGCCTTCCGACCGACCAACACGGCACAAATCCCGCATCGACTTCAGGCGCGCCGACGCCCTTTGGACAGGATCATCACCGGATAGACCAGCCGCCCCCCTGCCTTTGGCGCTCCTCGAGCCCTCGCCTGGTGGAGCAGCCCCAGTTAGTCCCGAGGAGGTGCGTTCATGAGCGGCCGACCTCGCGGACACCTTTCGAATGGCAGTCTTCAGTTTCTTGGCAGGCTGACTCGCGCTCGGAGATCCCGATGCTCCCCCAAGCGCGCCCCTCTTCGGGACACCCCCGGTCAAGGAGCCATCGCCGCCCCAAGATGAGGCCGCAGTGTCTTTGGCATGAGGCGCCTTCTTTATAGACTGAAGGTTCACCATTTCTGCAAAAACTCGGTGGGTCAGATAGCTCGGGACATCTCTCTGGGTCATAAAGACAACCATACCCTTAACAACCGGGCTCAACCCCGCCTCAACCAGCCACTCCTCAGTCATCTCTCTGATTGCCCGAGAAGAGGCCAGAATGCTCCTCAGTCGATTTACATCTGCCGACTCCCCACCTGAAAGCAGCGGGAGGACATTGTCGATGGTGCGGGAAGTCCACCCGGTGCTGAAGCCCCACCCTCGACTACAATTGACAAAGAAGAAGCGGCTCTTCCAACCTTTGTTGTTGGAGGGAGCATCGCTAATCTTGAACCCACTATGGGCAGTTAAGTAATAACCACCCCGACCCCTACACAGTCGAAAGCAGGCCAGGAACAGAGCCCTAGATGGTTCTATCCTGGCCACGCGACACTCCCCGAGGAAAGCCACCAAATAGCGCCAAGAGTTCGGTGCCATATGAGATGGCGATATACCCCACTTACGGAGGCAATCCTCGATCACAGGATGAAGCGGGAATCGTAGTCCCGCCTCAAGGGCACCCACCGTCAGCCCAAATCCCTGGGCAAACTGATCATACGACTGTTGACCCGGCCGAGGGGCAAAAAGGCTATAATCTTCCGGGATACAATAATGATCCCGAAGCTCCCCCAGAAACTCCTCGGTCACCACCGAATCTATATCATGCCATAGCTTGAGACTCGCAAGTAGGGCGGAACTCCCCATGGCCTCTAATGGTGCGACTCTCGGAGACAAAGGGGTAACCCCAGGGCCCTCGGAAGAAGAGGAAGAAGTCGAAGAAGAAGACGAGGAAGGCGAAGACATCCCGACCTCAAGTCAGTAGGGAAGAAGCCGGGTCACTGAACAGAACAAACAAGGCAGCGACGACCAGATGAGGTGATGATAGCTGAGCAAAAGATAAGGGAAACCCTTCTAGCGGAAGATTATAAAGGGCGGGCCAGAGGCGATGATCGAGCTTTCCGAGGAGAGAGAGCATCGCGGCCCTCGAAACCATCATGACTCCTCGGGTTCCCCCAGATTCACCGGTCTCAGAGATCCCACCCGGAAACGTCCCATCACCCAAGGCCTCCCGCCAGAACCAACGCCGTTCTGCTCAGCATGACATGTGGCGCACGGCTTCAAATGTAATGCAGTTTCCTGCCAGAACCAACGTCGTTCCACTCAGCGTGACACGTGGCGCATAGCTCCAAACGTAACGCGGTTTCTCGCTAGAACCAATGCCGTTCCACTCTGCGAGACACGTGGTGCACAGCTCCAAACATAATGCGCTTTCCCACCAGAACCAATGTTGTCCCACTCAGCGTGACACATGATGCACAGCTCCAAACGTAATGCGCTTTCCCGCCAGAACCAACGCCGTCCCACTCAGCGCGACATGTGGCGCACAGCTCCAAACGTAACACGGTTTCCCGACTTGCGACCCATCGGCCCAGTTTACCGCCTGAGTCGCTCCATATCGGTTCCCGACTTGCGACTCACCAGCCCAAGTCATAACCCGAGTCGCTCCAGATCGGTTCCCGACTTGCGACTTGCCAGCCCATTTTACCGCCCGAGTCGCTCCAGATCTGTTCCCGAATTGCGACTCGCCGGCCCAAGTCACAACCCAAGTCTCTCCAGATCGGTTCCCGACTTGTGACTCGCCGGCCCAGTTTACCGCCCGAGTCGCTCCAGATCGGTTCCCAACTTGCGACTCGCCGGCCCAAGTCACAACCCAAGTCGCTCCAGATCGGTTCCCGACTTGCGACTCGCCGGCCCAGTTTACCGCCCGAGTCGCTGCAGATCGGTTCCCGACTTGCGACTCGCCGGCCCAAGTCACAACCCGAGTCGCTCCAGATTGGTTCCCGACTTGCGACTCGCCGGCCCAAGTCACAGCCCGAGTCGCTCCAGATCGGTTCCCGACTTGTGACTCGCCGGCCCAGTTTACCGCCCATGTCGCTCCAGATCGGTTCCCGACTTGCGACTCGGTGGCCCAGTTTACCGCCCGAGTCGCTCCAGATCGGTTCCCGACTTGCGACTCGGTGGCCCAGTTTACCGCCCGAGTCGCTCCAGATCGGTTCCCGACTTGCGACTCGCCGACCTAAGTCGCAACCCTAGTCACTCCAGATCGGTTCCTGACTTACGATTCGCTGGCCCAAGTCGCAACCCTAGTCGCTCCAGATCGATTCTCGACTTGCGATTCGCTAGCCCAGTTCGCAACCCAAGTCGCTCCAGATCGGCTCCCGACTTGTGACTCGTCGACCCAGTTCACCGCCCGGATCGCTCCAGATCGGTTCCCAACTTGCGACCCGACAACCCCAGACTCAAGCCCACGGTACGGTCTCTGACTCAAATCACACGGCTCAACCCTCTGGCCTACGGCCTATCAATATCGCCCTACCTGAGTGCCGCCCAGAAACACCTCACAACGAACCCTCGCAAAGAGTCAACACATCCAAGGTGTCTCGACCCAGGCCCGCCTCTCGTCCTCTTAAAGACCACACGACGCGCCTCGACGAGGGGGGGGAGAAGTGACAAGGGACATTCTGGACAGTCCTGCCACGTTACAATCTGTTAGGATCAAGAGCACTAAGAGGGGGGGGGGGTGAATTAGTGCAGTGGAAAACTTTCGATGATTAAAAAAGTGTTCATACGACAAAAGTGATTTCAGTAAGAAAGCCGATTCGTAAATCACTTTAACTTTTGATTAAGCAAGATGCAGCAAAGATATAAATGCAATTTGCAGTTATGGTTCAAATCAGATAGTAGGCGCAAACTGAAATATGA